TCCATCATGAAGTGTTTTTGACCTGTGTTGAAATGCCGTGTTGTGGACCCAGGACAAAGATAAGAAAGATTGCTGTTTTGTTCTTGTGTCGACAGGAAAGTTTCAAAGTAAAAGTGTCAAAACAAACTTCCACCTTTCAAAATAAGTCTCCTAAGAGCTGTAGACCCAGGTGATTAGGGAATATACTATAGAAATCTTAGTGCGGCGACAGTGGCTCAGTTGGTAGAAAATTAGTCTTTGCACCTAATGGTTCAATCACGACTGATGTTACCTGCTCTCACTGACTTCTTCTGCTGTTGTGTCCCTTTAGCAAGATACTTAACCCCACTTTGCTTGAAGCCCCCTCTGAAAGACCAAGGCCGTGTCTTTGTTGGCAGTGTCTTCCTTGGCAGAGCAGCCACCTTCCTGTGGACTCACCACCTGCAGGAGGATCAGCAAGGGGCTGGTGCTTTGAGGATATGGTGGCAGTTCTAATTACCACCCCCCAACCCGTAAATTAACTAATAAAGGAGATGAAAATAGCAGGACATGACACAGTAAGCGTATCATCCACATGGAGCAATTTACACATTTCTAAGACGACAACAGTATAAAGGAAAGAGGAGCAACAACCCAAACTCTGATGGGTCTTGTGTGTAGTTTAAAAACCTTGTTTTATTTGTAATGTCTAAATTACTTTATTATAATACATCACTACAGTCACCCTAAACATGCATGGGAAAAAATACCCATCTCATGAGGCAGGTTATACTGTATGGCAAGACACTTGGTTACTCCAGCCTGGGTTGCTCAGCATGCAAATAAGAGGTGACCCAAGGTTTGTGTTCATCCATCCATCCATTCTCTTCCCCTTAATCCATTTCTGGGTCGGGGGGTGGCAGTCAGAGCTGCACCCAGTACACGGAGCACCAGCTCCTCACTGATCCTCCTGCAGGCGGTGAGTCCACAGGAGCCTTGATTATTCAGCAGGATCTTCAGGCTAAGTGGGGTTAAGTGTCTTGCCCATGGACACAACGACAGCAGTCATCAGTGGGAGTCATGAATAGGTCTTGTGGTGAGCTCGAACCCACGACATTCAGGCTCAAATGCCAATTCTCTACCAACTGAGTCACTGTCGCCCAGGTTTGTGTTCAGTGGAAGCCTGTTCAGTATAGTCAACAATCTAGCCCACACAAAGCCAGATGTGGCAGTAGTCAACAGTCTTTTATTTTGGTAAAGATGAGGAGATGGTTGGTTATTTCCAAACTGACCAGCCTGTAATGAAAGGGCAAACCAGAGCACACACAGGGAGAACATGTAAACTCACAAACGGAAAGGTGTGATGATAAATGTATGTTCCAATACTAAGGACTGCTGACACTATGACTTAGTTGTCACACACAGTAGCCTTCAGTCAACAAATATCTTTTTGTTGTTTTTTGTAAAGTTTAAAAAATAAAAAAAGTAAATCTCAATAAAACCTAACTTAATGAAGACAGATATATATAAAAGCTAAAAGGCTGAAATTACTCACAATCAGGCACTAAACAACAATCCATTCCATTTTATACGCAAATTTAATTCTGAAATAATGTTTTATAAATCATTAATCCAGACTGTAATTTGTTTGCAAAGGTCAGGAGTTAATTTGCATGAAATGGATGGAAAATAGTTGATTTGGTTGTTGGCAGATATTTACTCAGCATGGTACCGATTCAAAAAACTCCTCTGCCAAATATAATGTAATTCAATTTGAATGTTTCAAAAGCTCTCTGTTGAGTTACAGTTTGTATAATTATGGATAAATCCACTGCTTTATGCAGGATACAATTGAGCACTTATTTTTCAAAGCTAGATGTTTGTGGTTTAAATAAAATGAACAGTATGTGAGGACAAAAACTATTGAAATAAGGTAGATGGTTTGTGAACTTTTGACGCTGATTGTCGCAATGCTGCTTGTAGCCATCATCGCAGCTTCTGAATAATTAAGCACACAGCAAAAACTGCACCCCTTTTAATAATAATGACATATTTAGCCTTTATATGACTGACAGTTGTATTGATAACTAAAATGGTTTGTTTAATTGAAAGTATCTACTTTATATCAAGCTACTTTTGACAGGTTTTTGTTACTTAGCTTGCTACATTTTTATGGAGTGGTAGCTTCTGTGTGGTAAAGCTGAATTTATTGCTCTCTTCACAAATCAAGTATCTTTCCCATCACTGTTTTCAAGAATAAGATTGAGAGATTCTATTTTCATCACACAGTGGGGAAATGTCAGTATTGCATCACTAGGAGGAGCACACACACACACACACACACACACATTGTGTCATTGTATAGCACAACAACAGAAAAAGTATAAATATATATTGTAGAAGCATATATTCTCCAGTTCATTTAGATCATGTCTTATGTATAAGTGATATACGTTAAGTTAACTGAGTAATTTCTTTTATGAACCAAAGTATAAATCTATAGATCAATCTGTTCTCTTCATTGAAAGCTGAAACTCTGCAGCCTTTATGAACAACACAAAGTCATTCTCATTAAAGTCTGTTTTATAGACACAAGCGCAAAAAGTTTTTATAACCTTCTCTATCCTTCTTTTATTTTCACATTATTTTGACCACTTAGGTGATATCTAATCATTTCCAAAGGCACACCAAACAACATCCCAAAGCACAACGTATCATGGCACATTGGTTGAAAAACACTGCTCTACTACAAGAATATTGATGTAATAAGTGGTTTGCTCGGCACTGTAAAGTGTGATTGGTGACCCTGACTCAAAATAAAGTGTGGACACTAATTGCGCACGATTTAAATTAAGTGACTGTTATCAACAATCAGATCAGGTAAAGTCATTAACTTACAGTAAGTAAAGTACTGACTTAACAGACACCTTTCAAGTATTGTCTGATACAGAAAAACCACAGACGATACACACCAATACTTATGAAATGAAACTCAACAATGGAATTTAAAAGCTAGATTTTGACATGAATTGTAAAGGTCACAGATTGTGTGTGGGTGAACAGTAAACTTGGAGAAAAGTCAAGTAAAATATGATCAATCATTTTAGGTGAGGCTGATACTTGGATTTACAGTGTGAGGGTTAAATATCCACATTGATGACATCACATGATCTATCAAAGTGACTGAATCATTACAAAGATTTAAATACATGTTTTTTTTGTAAATTATGCAAAACATTAGAGTGCGTTATTTCAATCCCCAGCTGCTCTATACTTCCACATATACTTTATTCTATACTATACTACTTTCTTCTTCACCAACTCTGACTTGGTGTAAAACAATTATTATTTCTCCACCAAAATAGGTCAATCTAGATTTGAAAGATTTTCTATTTTCTCCTCCTTGCGCATGCAGTTACCAATATATTGATCGGTGGCTGAAATACCTTGCGCATTCTCTCATTCCTATAGAGGGGTCCTATACATGTATGTACCGCTGTTGTCAGTCCGTATAGATTTCATTTTGTACTTTCCTTCTATGTAACTTTCCTGCTTACGCGTTCTTCTGCACAGTGAGGGAATGTGCGGGGAAATTTACTCAGCCGTCTCTACAGGGCCCAAAAAAAAAAAAAAGTGCCAGGCTCAATTGAATAGAATTGAATTGAAGTGTAACCAGAAGACTAACACAGTATATCAGATGTTCTCAGATAGCAAGATTGGAGGACCCACTAATACCTGAAAGCACAGCAGCCGCAATTTTTCCCTCAGCCTAAGTCAATATTAATAAGGTTTGATCTTTATCTGATCTCTTCACCCCACCAAGGAGAATATAGATGAGATCAGCGCACTGTTTGAGCAGCCGTTCAATACATCTCAGGCTCAATAACACACGTCAGGCCGTCGGAGGAGGATATAGGGCCGCGGCAAATGGTTAAAGAAAAATCAAGCTTGGCATTTTGATTCGGGCCCTCCTTCTGCCAATTCTTTTAATAAATGCTTGCTCAAATATCCAGTCGGCTCCTGACATAATTTGGGGGGATGTGAAGTGTTTGAGTTGGTCCGCAAACACCTGGCTGGCTTAAAAGCTAAGAGTAAATAAAAACACATGTTGGTGTTAAGGGATTTGGGAGGCTTTTTTCAGCATACTGGTCGTGGTTATCAAGGTGGATTTATTGCTTGCTCATGCTCTCGGTTTCTACTTATTCAATAAACTTTCGGCCTTAGAGTGTATAACAGCCATACAAGTGACTTATTCAACCCCCTTTCTAGCTTTCTTTGCATATTATTGCTTAAATAATAGCAATAACTGCACTATTGGAATGCAACATGTTATACAATAACCATTAAGCCCCATGTATGTATTACAATTAGTATATATAGTAATTGTCACTGCAGGCCTAGAATGTGGAGGAGAACTTTGATTCCATTTTCAACCCCAAGTGACAGCCAGCTCAACAGTAAAACGATCTATTCTAACCGTGGTCCTTGCTTTAGTTTTCTTGATATCTTTGAATAAATGATCCACATTGAATAGATAAATTCATCGAAAGCTCAGTCATCTGTAGCCTTGATTATTTCTTTCTTTTTATTCTATTCTCGTTAGTTTTATATTGGAATAAAACTAAGCTTAAGGACTTCATGCTTTCATTATTTTCTATTGTTGGTTCTGCAGGCTCCATTAGATACAAATCCAAGTATTGTCGCTCTGTACATGGAGAAAATGTATATTAAGTATTAAGAGTTTTTTTCTTGCTGGTGCAGGAGTGTCTAAGCAAAGTGGTGATGATCATGACACCCAACATTTATGGACTTTGACAACATATATGGACATTGGTCATCTGCACCTTATGGACCAATGGCTCTTTGTGTTTCTTTAATCATACAGTAGATTTTCCTGTGTTTGGACTGTTTGATTCTCTGATCTGTGTTGGCGAGTTGATCTCTGAGAAAACTACTGTTGTGATCAGTGCTATACAAAAATGAATAGAATTTAACGAATCTGTCTTGTTGCTGATTTCCACATGTGTCCTGTGTGTGCTCAGACCTAGACTTCTGTAAGAGCGGGCCCATGCGCAGCCCTGACTTCCACCTGCACCAGGCCCAGCAGCAGCAGCAGCAGCAGCAGCATGAGGAAGAGGAGGAAGCCCTGTGCTCCGGTCCGGTTGCTCACGTGGGCCGCGGAGGGGGCAGAAGCTACTCTCTGGGCGTGGGCTCCGATGTGGACACGGAGCCGGAGGTGGACCCATCCCCAGGGCTGCAGCACATGTGGATGAGAGGCCTGAAGTCTGAACAGAGCTCCTGCCTGACCAGCCGCGCCAACTCCGCCCTCTCCCTGACCGACACCGAGCACGACCGCAAGAGCGAACCCGACAACGGTGAGTACAGGCCAAAGAGAGAAACAGCTGTGCTTTGGCCCGTTGTATGTGCTATGTGGCGCGAAAACATGCATAAAAGTCATGTCTATAGCAGTGGGGCTCAACTGGGACAGTGTTGGGGCCCGCGATCAACAAGCCTCCGACCTGCGACTCAATTTTAGATAAATAATTTCCATCTATATATAACAAAACACATTATGTGATCAAGGAAATAGATAAATACATCCTTATTAAGTAAATTTCTCTTTGAGCAAAGCAACTAATTTCAATGTGAAGACAAAGTGACAATGAATTTAAAAGAATATATTATGTTTTAATTATAATTCACCGTATAGATGTTGTATGGGATGCAATGGGTTAATATTACGTCCCTAGATCAAGGGCTTTTTTCCGAGAACATTTCACTTTCTATATGCCATTGGTTGCCGTTTGCACTAGACTTGAGAACCACTGCTGTACAGAAAGGCTATTGTGTATGAATGCAGCTCTCGTGAAAAAATAATTTAAAAAATCCATAAAAACATCAGTCTATTGCCATCACTATATGACAGAATGAGCAGAAACTGAGGTCTTTGATTGATTGATTTGTTTATGTAGTTATGAAATTTCTGTACATATTGTATAATTATTCAAGAGGCTGGTTTTCCATCCGCCCCATTTCATGTGCATGTGTGAAAAAGCTTATCTATGGATTTGCTAATGGCCATGTGTGTTATTTTTAATGATATAGCAGAGGTTTTTTGACAGATAAGAACATATTTAATGGCTTCCTCTTTTTAGTGTTGTATAATCAGCTTTTAGACGAAATTTTACATGTTCTTGTTTGTTGTCACTGATTGGCCACACAAGTTTAACTAGTTGATGATGATCGATGTGGTTCAGGGACATGTGATTAACCAGTACTAATAATGCTGTTAATCATTTGGCCTTATCATTTTTATTCCAGCGAGCTCTCCTTAGAAACAGACAAGTCTTTTGATTAACAGAAAATACACTATTTTTTTTAATCGCTCGAAGTAGCTTGCTTTGAGTGCCGGAAAAAACCCTCACCTTTTTTCAGCTACCATCATGTAATCTATTACAGTAATAGCCAAGTAATAGCCAAGTAACCAAAGTGGGTAGCTGTATACACTTAAATAGACTCCACGAACAAATATCTCACAGATTTATATGTGGTTGTGAGGTGGAAGTGCTACCGTGCAACCTGGTTCTATTATTGCTTCAAAAGTCAGGTCATATTGTTTGTTCTATACAATGACTTTATTTCCTGTCTACACACGTGCTTTTAAATACCTCTACTTTGTGAGGCAAATTCAATATTTTGCATATGAAAAAGATATCCAGAGCTTCAAGGTCATACTATGTCTTTCTGTGTTTAACCAATGCCCTAGAGTTCATACAGAGCCATAAGAACGAATCAAAGAGTGTAAGAATTCACAAGCAATTCATTTGAACGGTCGGAAGTTGTTAAACGTTTTTACATTCATCTAAAATCCATTCATATCGGTTTCTGAGACAAATTCGATGTACTTTGTGTTTTATATTCTCAGCTTATTCTTGTCCAATATGCCGAGAATCCAAACCATTAAATACCAAGAAAAACAACATGAAATCCAGACGATGTGCGGCTTAAGTTACACCCAAAGGCAATTTCAGTTTTTTGTATTTATTCATGTTGTTGCCCTTCACTTTAGATGATCTTAGAAGAACAAATGCTTGCAACTACATAGTGAACTGAATTGTTTGTTTTTTTTTCCAAAATGTATTAATAATAATATTGCATCAGTTTTATATAGCACTTTTTTGGACACTCAAAGACATGTCATCACTCATTCACTCCATACACGGTGATGATAAACTACTACTGTAGCCACAGCTGTCCTGGGGCACACTGACTGAAGCGAGGCGACCAGTCTATGCCATCGGCCCCTCCGACCACCATCGACCATTCACACACACACAAGACTCATTCTAGGTAATTGGGGTGAAGAGTCTTGCCTAAGGACACAAAGGCAGTTTGGCACTTTACAGCCGCAGCCGCCCCCACTGTGGCTGGTGTCCCCAGAGTTTAAGTGTCTTGCCAAGGACACAACAACAGCAGAAATCAGTGGGAGTCGGTGGAGAAAGTCTTGTGGTGGGCTCGAACCCATGCCTTTCAGACTCAAAGGCCAATCCTCTACCACCTGAGCCACTGTTGATTGTCATAATGCTTTTGGTGTTTGTACACGTCTGCTCATTCTACATCTAGATCATGTATTATTTTTATTTTTGGACATCAACACAAACAGTTAAGCAATTAAACAAACAAAATCTTTCTTAGGATTTGACCCTATATTCAAAAGAGACATCAGGTTCTATCCAGTCATGGTACAATATGTGTTATCGTTCATTAGCTGATGAATAGAACAATATATAATGGGACAGTTTTGTATGTTTGTTACGGTGTTATTTTAGCTGTAAAGGGTTAAAAAAGACACATGGCTACATTGGGTGTGTTCTCATTTCAATGTGTTCAATTTGTCTTTCTGGTTAAATGGACATACAGTATATTGTTATGTATATAATGTAACCTGTTATATTGGAAATGTGCATACTTTACTCGAATGCATGCAAGTATACGTGTGCTCTGTGGCCTAAAGTAGTTTCAAAATTATTGTTCATCATAATATTTTTCAGAATCAATATATCGTTCATCTTTTTTTGAATTATGTTCTATTGCACGGATGCTAACTTCCATTGTTCTGAAATTAGTACGCTCGTTTTCACACTTCAGGTGCATTGACATTTTCTATAGTTCAAAACACCAAAGTGTAAGAATAGCACAGGTCTAGATTTGCTTACATGTAGCTGCACCAGTAGAAGGCAAGTGTCTCTGTGGGTGAGACTGAAGCCTGGGAGGAGGAGAACGTTTGCAAGGCGGGGGTGCAGAGAGCGGACCGACCCGGGGAGAGCAGCCTGGGATGGTGCCAGCTTTCTGTCTTGCACCGCTGGGCTCGGCTGGGCTCGGCTCGGCTCCCCGCAGATGGAGAGTTAGTTAGAGGTGCACATAAACAAAGGCAGCGCTCTCCAGCCCATCCCCAAGGGCGCTGTCTGTTTGTGCCGCGGAAAGAAAGGCAAAAAATACATGAAAAAATATTTATAACAAGGTGCAACACATTCAACGGGGAAGACAAAGTGGCCGCAACATGCAGGGTGAAGGGAGGGGAGGGAAGATTTAGGCTGAGAAATTCCAATGCAAATGAGAGTAGGGATGATAATGTAATGGTGTAATTAGAGTGAAATGAAAGGGAAAGTGCAGCGGAGAGGAAATGGTGAAACAGGTCTGCGGGAAGACAAAGATGGAGGAGCATTGCACCCAGGTGTTTTATCATAGTTTCTCATGTTGTGGCGAAACATCTGTAGGAGGGACGCACACTTTTGCTGCCAATTAGAATAGAAGAAACAGTAATGCTATGTATTTATTATCTCTTAGTCTCCATAATTATTGTCTTGACTGTGTGCCTATACATTTGCATTTAATCATGTGTGCGAGTTGCTTCCCCACATATCTAACTGATTTGGGATTGATGGCGCCTAAATCTCATTGTTCTAGATATAATACCATACAGTACTGTGGGACATTCAAGGCGGATCATTGCAACAAGGTCTCATTCAAAACGGCTGATAATACCAACATTGAATAGATTTACAAAGCATAAGAGAATGGAGTGCACTAGAAGACCGGAGTCTATTCAGCATTTCTGCCAAACTGGTCTGACCACTATGTTCCCAGTCTATACAGGAACAGAGTTTGTACCCAAGGAAAATAGAATAGTATTTAGAAAAAAAAAAAAAGAAACATACTGTATTAAATATGCGTTCATCACACATCAGTTATTTTTTCCAGGTTAAAAAAATCTAAACATTGAACCAGATGCAGCAAGCGACTGTACGCTCACCTATTCGTGCAGATACATACTTTCTAAATATAAGCATGCCGTAATATCCGTGAACCTCCAATTGCACCATACACATCCTAGTTTTTCACATCTCAATCAGCGCACCTGGGTTGACATGTGTCTTGCTCAATCAAATGGAATTGAATTATAGGCGAGTTATCCTATTATCAGCAGTGGTTTGCAAACATACTCAATGGCATGTTAGCTGTTCAGCTCTATCCGTGCCATTTTGTAATTATTCACAAAACAAAGTGGGATGAATGGAGTTCATTGTAATCATTCAGACACTCTCTCACACACACACACACACAGACACACACACACAGAGCTGGAGTGCGGGTGGCTGGTGCTGAGTGTGGCCGGTGCCGGAGTGACACAGGAGAAACAGCTTGAGCCGAAGGTGCAGTGCGACTTCTCACCTCTGCAGTGGAGAGAGCCAGTTTCCCCGATACCCGCCAGCACATTTGTCTCAGCTTTGTTTTCTTTTTATTGAGGTATGTGTTGTGCTATAAAGTCCCGAGCAGTGAAAAAGTCAAGTTTGACATCAACAAAGCTGACGCGTTCAGTGTTTGCACAAAGGACTTGATGGTGAAAAGGTTGAAACAATAAAGGATTATGTTCATTCAAACGACAGATATATGAGGAACGTGACAGAATGGGATCTGCAGCATGCGGATATTGTGTTTCACTGGCAAATTTGGTTATATTCAAACTTTTCACAATGAGAACAAATGCATATTATGTACATATAAATCTTTTTCATGGACCGCAAATTGTATTACATGAATTGTTAATTGGCCATTAGCCCTACTGGATACCCATGAGGACACAGTACCAACCTTTTAAAAGTAAAAAAAATCCCAGAATTATATTTGAAGAAGAAATCTATATGAAAATAAGTAAAATACTACCTAAAATAAGGACAATGATCGGCCAATAGAACAAGAAAATATGACTTGACAAGATTTCTGAAAATTAGAACATACTAATTGATTCTAGTTTTATTTTTATTATTTATTTTTTACATATTTATTAAACATTGTTGAGATTTTTTTTTTTTCAATATATAGCACAACATACTTATTTTATCTTAACAACAAGAACAAATGTCTGGAAATAGGGACAATTATTTAAAACAAGCATTAAAAAACTCATTGTTTAGACATTTTTCTCTAATAAAACATTAACTTATACTAGTAAAAATTATATTACATCAAAAACTAAATT